CTTCCCCACCCCCTTCCCCACCGACTCTGGGAAGGAAGCAGGCCCCGCTGGGATCTGGCAGCTGTAGGACATGTGGGCGTCAACCCTCCTGCAGCCACTTTGGGCTGTAACCAGAGCTGCCCACAGAACCGGAGCTGGGCCTCAGTGGACACAGCTCTGCTCCGCGGGGACTCTCTGACTTGCGTTGCCCCCTGCCCCGCCCTGTCCTTGTGGAGGATCTGAAGGTGAACCTGGCCTCCTGGCCCCTCAGCCCTCCGAGGCTTGGTCCTAGATCAGTGCCACTGCTCTGGCTCCTGCCCGCCCTGGCCTCCTCTGCCATCTCCTGGTTCACCTGATTCCACTCCTCTGCCCGTAATATTACGATTGCTGTTATGATGGCATGCTCGTGTTTACAGCCTGCTTGTCGGGCAGGGTCCAGAGGCAGCTGACACCTGGCCTGGGTGATTCCGACAGCAGGGGTCTGGCCTTGAGCCTCAGCGTCCACAGCACCCCCCTGACTTCCCCGGTGCCACTTTCTTCTCAGTGTCAGTATGTGACGGTGGCAGGGCTGGGTGTGAGCACTGAGGAGCATGCATCCCTGATGACTGCCATGTATTGGCAGCGTCCTGGGTTCCTATGCAGACCTGGGGGCCTGGGGGCCTGGGAGCCCTTTGCAGTAGCTAACCCGAGTGTCTGCTGGAATGGAGCCGTCCCCTGGGAGGGGCCATTCCCACAAATTCCTGGTTGGTCTCCTGTAGGGGGGTCCAGCACCCAGTGTTCATGGTTGGCATTTGGGAGGTGGGGTCCCTCCCTTAGGGCCCTGGAAGATTGTTTCTCTCTCCTGAAGGTTGGCAGAGGGGAGAGGAGCGGGCAGGCCAGGTGAGCCTCAGCAGGTGCAGGTGCAGAGGTGGGCCGCGTGCGGAGCGCCTCCACCTGTCCATCATCCATCTGAGTTTGAGACGAGCTGCCCAGTTGCCGTGTGATTTTAACCAAGATCCCCAGGGGCTCAGAGTGCCCACCAGCTCATGGGTTTGCATACATTCATTGTGCACCTACTGTGTGCCAGGAAGTGGGCTGTCCCAGGCCGACTACCAAGAACGGTCCTCCCTGTGTCTCCACGGTAACAGTAAGGATGCAGATGGCCCCGACCTGCCCTGCTCCGACTCTCCAGGCTGGGTGCAGGGTGGGGTGGGCATTTTGTGGGTGGCTTGGGAGTACACCTCTAGTTGAGGATCTCAAGTGGGGTGGCCCTGGCTAGGGGGTGGCCAAGGACAGCAGAAGCTCAGAGTGGTGACGGGATGGTCCCACAGACAGTGGGTTTGAGGGCCAGCTGCTTGCCAGGCCTGGCCAGCCCAGAGCCTCCTCCTTGACCTCCAAGCCGGTGTTGCTCAAACTTCCCCAGGGTGCCATTACCATGCCAGACTCTTGGGCCCTCTGCTGGAAAGGTTGGGGTTCAGGCCTTTGTGACCCACACTCTACCCTAGCGGGTTGGGACCCAGGCTTCTGGAGACTCAACCAGCCAACAGTCCCTGGGCAGGAGAGCACCCACTCCATGCTGGGCACACCCACTGTCCAGAATGGAGACTTGGCCACTGCTGGCTGCTCCTGAGACATTCACTGGACAGATTCCTGGTCCAGAGCCCACTGTGCACACCCTCCCTGCCCTGGGAAGCTCGATGGACTGAGAGTGAGGTGTCCAGTGTGTGATAGGGTGGCATGACCTACAGCCAATGGGCAGGTGCCACTCAAGGGGACCTGGCTCTAGTAGCTAGTCTCCGGAGCTTGTGCCAGCAGGTGACAAGGGGTGTGGGCTGGGGCCTAGCCTCATGCTGCAGGGGAGTCCTCAGGGGCTGAGAGAGGGATGTAGTCAGCTGAGTTTTCTTGAAATGATGCTGATGGTTATTAAACCTTTTAGTCCAGGACTCTGGGGCCAGCTATGACCACCTGGTCCTATGGCTGTCCCTGGTGACCCTGGGGGAAGGGTGGGCTCCCCTGTGTGGCCCTGGATGAGGGGATACTCTGGTGTCTAGACTTTGACTTCCCCTGCAACCTGTTTTCCCCAATTTCCTGAACAGAGGGGGCCCCAGAGGCCCCCATGCTACAACAGGCCTGGTACCTATCCCCTGTGGGGCACTGCCATCCTGGCCAGAGCTTCTGTCCTGGGCACAGGACAGTGTGGGCACAGCCCTGTGGGAAGGGCCGGGCCCTGTGGGTGATCCCTAATCCACAGCGGTGCCGTGCCTGGTGCCCCAGGGTCCAGTAATGGTCTTCCTACTGGGGCCAGGCTGCTGAGGCCCTTCGGGAGAGAGTGGCCTGGAGACAGCTGAGCTGGGGTGTGAGCACAGGCCCGCCTGGCTCTCTGGCCTCCCTGCACCTCACTCCCCTGGCCATAAACTAAGCTGGCGGTGATGACGTGCACCTCATGGGGCTTCTGAAAGGGTTTGGGCGCTGGATCCCAGCAGCCGTGGGCACCCACCCTGGGATCCGCAGCCAGGGACTGAGCCGTCCTGCCCCACCGGCCGCTGTTTACCCACCAGGCAGTGGTGGGTGTGGCCTGGGCAGGGCAGCAGCTCCGGGAAGGAAGTATGGCTGCTTGTCATGCCAGAGTCACGGGGCCTTCCCTGTCGGCAGCGGGGCCTTCCACAGGGCTGCACTGCTGTCTGGAAGGCTCCCCCACAACCCCCAGCCACAGCTCTGGGCTGAGGGGCATGCTCACCAGGGAGGGCAGGGGCACGTCTGTTTCCTGGCCCTGGGCACCATGCGCCGAAGCGGCTTCCCAATTTGATGAGCCAGGCAGGGAGCGTTCGGCTGCCACTCTGGCCTGTGCCTGGTGGGTGCAGGCAGGCCCACCCAGGGGCCCACACTGAGGGCTCTGGCTCCGGTCTGGGTCTCTAGCAAAGGGCCCTGTATCCATCCTAAACATGCAAGGTCCCCCCTGAGGGGCATGTACCAAAAATGGGGGGCAAAACCTCCCTGGACTGAAGCTGTGAGGACTTCAGAGATGGGTCCACTTGCCCTACACCCCACTCCGCAGTCTGTATGTGGCGAGAGATCACCCAGGAGCCTTGCGCCCTGGGCTGGTTGGCCCGGGGCGCAGTCTGTGCATGGGTCCTGATGAGGAGGGCTGCTCCAGCACAGGCAGGTGGTGTGGGGGGCAGGCCAGGGGCTGGGGGCAGGGAGGAAGTGGAGGCCAAGGAGCGGTGTGGGCTGGGTCTGAGTGGGGTGACAGCACAGGGGCCTGGGATGGTGGCATAGTGAGGATGCAGATGAAGAGGAGGGTATCGGAGTGGACCCCAGTTCATGGTCTGAATGCCTGTAAAAGGTGGGCAGGAAGTGGGCTGTGGGGGAGGCCTTGGGAACAACCCTCCAATTCAGAGGTGTGTGGTGGAGCCCTGGTCTGTGGATCCCCCAGACTGTGGACCCCCTGGATTGATAGGGAAAGTAAGGAAATTGAAAGTGTGTTTTGATTCCCAGGCTTTACCAGTGGTCTTGCATTAGACACAGACTGGGCAGTGTTCAGAGGGCAGGCGTGCCCTCCACAGTTCGTGTCCTCAGCATTGTGACAGTAAGGACCCTGGGGGAGGGTGCAGCCCCGGGGTCAGGCACTCGGCCTGTTTCCCGCCGCCTGTCATGGCTCTGCGTTCCGTGTTTCTGGTGTAGCCTGCCCCTCGCTCCTGGCCTGTTCAGGTCCCCGTCTGAGGGTCAGGTGAGCCACCCAACATGCAGGGAATGGTGACGTCATGCACGGTCAGCCCCTCTTAGCACCCCTGGGTTCGGGAGATCAGTCAGTGGAGAGCATCTGTAGATTGGAAAGCAGCAAAGTCAATTATCTTTCCTTCGCCCTGATTAAATTCGGAAAGGAAGGTAAAGATGCCACGTTCCAAACCTGGTTACTTATAACTTGGCTCTAAAAGTCTATTTTTGTGCTTCACAATAACAGCTTTGAGCTAAAGCCGTCTTTAAATTAAGTCACATTTGTTTCAAAGTGAGGTGTGTTCACGGGGAGGGGAGGTGTGGACTCTTGGGGCTTGTTTTTCACTGTTTGAAACAGGGTTCTCAACCTGTGGGTGGCGACCCCTTTGGCAGTCGAGCGACCCTTTCACAGGGGTTGCCTAAGACCATCCTGCATATCAGATATTTACATGGCGATTCATAACAGTAGCAACATGACAGTTATGAAGTAGCAACGAAAATAATTTTATGGTTGGGTCACAACATGAGGAACTGCATTTAAAGGGCCAGAAGGTTGAGAACCACTGGTTTGAAACAATGTAGGTGTATCCAGGCTGCACCGCAAGTGGCTCTGAATCAGATGCGACTCCGACCATCACAGCTCACGGGCCTCGAGAATGGTGTGACAGTCGGGCCTGGGGGTGACCCTGTGTTCTAGGAGGCACACAGGCTGGGCCTGGCTATGTCCCAGATCCTCAGGCACTGGGTCCTGGGAGATCTCCAGCTTTGATCCCACGCTCCCCCTTGTTGCCAGGAACTGAGATGTGGGTGCTCAGTGGCCTTGATGCTGGTCCTGTGACTTCATGAGCTCACACCGTCATCTGGGAGGCAGAGGGCCCCCAGCACACTGGTGGGAGTCCCAGGTGAAGGTGTGAGCACCCAATCCTGCGGCGCCTGGGAATGGGGGTTGGGGGGCCCATCACCATCCTGATTGTCCTTTCTGTCTCCCCTGCCAGGTCCGGCCTCTTCGGCCTGCCCCCATCCACTCCACTGCCCCAGGCCGAGGACACCCCTGTCAATGGCTGCCAGGGCCCAGCCGCCACAGA